AAACTTGCCCCTTTTAGACTTGCACTCTATTCATTTACTAACTGCTTGTTTTCTTAAAAAAAAAAAAAACTAACACTTGCTTATCTAATCTTTTGTATTCTATCTATTTGTTTTCTTTTTATTATTATACAATTAACAAAAGCAAAACAGGCCTCTAACATTAGCTTGCTCTATTCTTTTTCTATTCTATCTGTTTTCTTTTTATTTATTATATGATAAAAAAAAACCTTGCTACGTGTGCTGCGTTAAGGTAACTGAGACTTGTTATAGCACTTGTGTATCATTGCTCTCTTGTTGATTCGGACTGCGTCTATTGTCCTCATTTGTAAGTCGCTTTGGATAAAAGTGTCTGCTAAATGTCTAAATGTAATGTACATTTTTGAGAAGAATTTAAAGAGTAGTATTTGTATTATTAGATTCAAAATATATCAAAAATACAAATAATGATTAAACCTTTTGCATGTATGGAATAAAATGTCCAGAGGGAATGTGCCAAAAATCAAACGTGGTGATCAGTTTTGGCATTTAAAGGCAGATGACGAGGCTCTACGGACTTCAAGTGCATCTAGAGGCATTTGTTCCATCACAATTCCACAAAAAACAATTAAATTTTTTTTTAAATAAATTGCATAAACTAGATCGAAAATGACAGTTAAGTCATTGTACATGGTCATTTTCACAGCTTTCACTCTCTGTAATTTAGAAATAAACAAGGTCATAAATTGAGCATCTGTGCTTGTGCGTCATTCTTCCTGACTTACAGTCACAGAACAAAAGCCCCACTGAAACACAGACACAAATTCAGTAGTTAACCATATACTGTATAAACACCGTCTGTAACTGTACGACTGATGATCACACACCTGGTTGTAGAGAGCACAGATGTGCAGCGCTGTGTTTCCCGAGGCGTTCTGAGCACTCATATCTGCTCCGAAAAACAACAAGTGCTCCAGGTGCTGGACGTGACCGTGTCGACAAGCCTGCGAGAAACACACACACACACACACACACACACACACACAAAATTTGTCCCCAAAGTTAAAAAGGAACCCACATACATTATTCACAAGACACAGAACATGCAGAACGAGAGAAAGACTTTCTATAAACAAAAACATCAAAGTTGATTTTGCATCAGAAAAATTATATCACAGTTTTTTCAAATTGCTTAGACACTAAAAGTGGTACTGGAGGCGCACTTGAAACCATTCACTCATGTACCTAATCTTTAGACCAAGTCTGTAAAACTACAAGCACATTACATGCTTTAAACTATGTACACACACACACACACACACACAAACACATGTATGTGTCACATAATAAATATGTGTGTGTGTGTGTATATATACAGTATACTGAATATGAATATAAGCAAAGTCAGAAAGTCAACTTTATTTCTAAAGCGCTTTATACAATAGTATCAAATTCACATTCTAATAAGTCAGTAGCTTCAGTCAGTTCAAGATTGATTCAAGTTCAGTTGCATAACTGTGTCAAATTCATCAGCTGTACATAGTATATATTCAGTGTATATGTGCATATGCATGTACAGTGTGTGCGAGTGCACTCTGAACAAGCAAAAGACTCATGAAAGCAGTGTTTTACATATTTCACATCTGTGTGTAGTTTGGCGTGTATGTGGCTAATTATTTTATTTAGAGTTACTATGCAGAAATACCATTTTTAGAAGAGTTAAAATAGTTTTGAAAGAAGTGTTTGCTTGTTTTGTATGTTGTGTGTGTGGTTTTGTGTGTAGAGTAATTGCTTAGACACTAAAAGTGGTACTGGAGGCGCACTTGAAACCATTCACTCATGTACCTAATCTTTAGACCAAGTCTGTAAAACTACAAGCACATTACATGCTTTAAACTATGTCTGATATTGTAAAACAAACTTTTTACAAAACTCTAAAGTTCTCTACATTACACACATAATTCGAAACTAACAGCTCTTTTGTTTAATTTGGGAAACACTGCTATTTTAATGCCACAAAACACTTAGACATCATCTGTTCACTTAGAACACTCAGAACTCAGTGTTTTGAGAAAGAAATTATTTTTACCCCCATGCATTTCTGTTTACAGTATATACACGTATATGTATATATGATTATATACTATGTGTGTGTGTGTGTGTGCGTGCGCGTATATACACACATTCACATCTGTGTGTAGTTTGGCGTGTATGTGGCTAATTATTTTATTTAGAGTTACTATGCAGAAATACCATTTTTAGAAGAGTTAAAATAGTTTTGAAAGAAGTGTTTGCTTGTTTTGTATGTTGTGTGTGTGGTTTTGTGTTTAGAGTTTTGAGAAATGGAGCCATAGTTTCAAAAACTGTGTAAGCGTTTTGAAAAAAAAAAAAACTATAGCATTGTTACATTTTTATTGAACATGCACACAGTTCTGCTCAGCAGAGCATTTCTTCTGTGAGCTTTTCCATTTTATTTACATACTTACATAAGCTGGACATTTTGTCTAATACTTTTGGTAGGAGCTTTACTTAGCTTTTTCTGGTTTTAAGGTGTTAATGTTCTTTTTCTATTTTATTCAAGTGATGGGTTGGGGCTGAACTATTCATAAAGCATTGTAAACTTAAAAAAAAAAACAGTAATTAGACATCTAGAATCCTTCATCCTACAAAAAGAGCACCATATAAAAAGTCATAAACAATATACAATAAAACTTCACATTTCTGCTTGTAAATGCATTGTATGTTGTAGTGATCAATCACAGCACACAGATGCCATCCGCAGAACTTCAGCTGTATTTAAACCAGAATATATACTGTAAATCTTGTTTTCGTGTTTACCGTGAATTTTTCACCATCTCTCTGCTAATTACTTTCAATCTTGTACAGAAATGTAAACAGGAGCTCATAAAAGAAAAGATTTAGGTTTTGAATAACTGTGTGTATATGATATATCCAGAAATATAATATTATGGCAAATGTGCTTGAGATGTGTTTGTAATATTTTGAACGCAGTGCTTCATTTTGCAAGAGATGTGATGCATTTTGCATTTTGTGTGTGCAGTTCTTGGATTTGTGTGTAAAAAAGAGGCAAAGTTTTGAAAATGTGTGTAAGCAGCTGAAAAAAACAATTTTAAGTACATTTTGAGTAGAGTAATGAGGTATGATTCCTCAAATACTTGATACTCCTGGGAACCTTCTATCTTTAGTAAAGCAGCGTGTGAAGCTGACCTGGTGGATCTCGTGCCAGCCGTTCTCGTCCTGGCAGCAGACGGAGGCGTTCTGGTTCAGCAGCAGCTCGCAGCAGTCTGTGTCTCCACCAACCACAGCCGTGTGATACAGCGCCGTCAAACCACGACTGTCTTTATAGTTGGGCGAAGCCCCGAGCTCCAGCAGCGTCTGAAGAGCATGACCATTCACAAGAAACACCAACGCAACATGATGCTGAAGTGACACAACTAAAGCATCGCTATCATTCTTCTTTCCCATTCATTTGCCACTTTGCAATTCAGTAGAGTTAAAGTAACTGAATAGAGTTCCTTTTGGTGTCCCATTATCGTCCCATTAGTGTCTCAGGATGGATAAGGCATGAAAAGAGTAAACTGATTAACTCTACTCATACAGGTGATAAGTATAACTTAAATAGTGTTGTACAGTTGTTGTAATGGTTGAACTGGTAAAGTCAGTGGTGCTTTATGTTCTGTTTATGCTGTAATTATAGCAGCCGCTGCACCATTGCCGTGTTATATCCCTGATTTTAATGTACTGAAACTCAGTTGAGTTGAGTACCTTGAGCGTGGCCTGGTTTTTAGAGCAAGCTGCTTTGTGGAGCGCAGTCATGCCATCTTTAGCCCTGAAGTCCAGATGAGCTCCTCCGTGTCTCAGCGCTTTAATAAACTCCACCATATTCTCCAGCTGCGCCGCAATCGTGAGCGGTGTCTCTATAACACACACACACACACACACACACACACACACACACACAACGCACGCACGCACGCACACACACACACACACACATTATTCACTGACCTCTTCCTCTCTGCCATAGCTTTGAAAGCACAGCGTAAACCTGACACTGTGACTATGTGGAGAAAATATGCACTGAAAACACATAAGAACACATACCTCCAGTGTCCATGTCATGGTAATTGGGGTCCAGGCCTCGGTCCAGCATTTTGGAGAGTTTCTCTAGCTGATGATGTTGGATGCAATCTATAAACCACCTCAAGTTGGCCTGGAGAGAGAAAATATGAAGGAAAATAAAGAAAGATGCCAAAATCCTTCTGTCAGAAGCCATTAGACTGAATTCTTAAAGCTATTAGATACACATCATCAGATACTAGCAGATACGGTCACACAGCAAAACACGTCTGTTTACAGTTAGATACATTACTGTGTTACTTGAATAAGTGTTTTTGCTTATTTATGTAAATTGCATATCATTACTTCACTTTAATCAGACGATTGTGATCAAAATGAGCCCAAACGCAGGTGCACAGATGTCGACACGATCCTCACAGAAGTGTAGCTTCGTAAGTTTCATGCAAACAGACAGCACTAGAATATACTAGACTCGCCATCTCTCTCTCTCCACCCCAACAATCTTCACTCATTTTGAATTATTCAGCAATGATTATTCATGAAAAAAAAAGAATAATTCAAAGTGATTTCTAACATGAACCAAACAAACAAACAAGAAAGGACATATTTGCTCTCACCTTTGTGTGAAGTTTGGCAATCTGCTTCTCATCCGCACCGGGCTGATCGTACAGTCTGGTTTTGTAGCGAAACTGTAGCATACAAGAACAAAGAAGTTCTCAGGTTTTAATTCCAGCAATTGCAAGGGTGACAAGTATTTAACATAAAGAATCATCGGTTTCTGATGTCCTGAGGTATGCTGCTTGAAATATTGGGAAAGACTGTACTGATCGAAGTTCTGCTAATGTGTTTTATTGCTCTGCTTTGACTTTCCGATAGGGCTGGGTTTTGACACAAAATTCACGATTCGATTAGATTCGATTCGATGTTCATTCACAAGCTTGCGATTCAATTCGATTACCAATTAGATTCGATTTGATTCAGTACGGATTATTTTGGATATATGTCAGGTGCAGTACATGCCAAATTTTCTCAAGGAAAAAAAAATCTCTCAACTAATGCTGTAAAATATTGTTTAAAAAAAAATCTATAAACATAATGGTGGCTGTCATAAAAACTTGATGTATTTATTCAAACATAAATTAAACATTGAAGAACAGTCAAATTTATAATGAATATGTATATGTATTTAGCAAAATGCCCCTCTCTACAGTTTATTTTTCTATCTGACTAATGAGTTTATGGTCACTGAATATGTTTGTTTCTCAGGTAAATGTGACGTTATGTGACATTGTTTACAAGCCGTTATATTGACGTCTTTGCGCGGCTGAAACACTGATTGAACGATTACATGAGACAGGATACAGATTGTAAAGTTGTACTCTTTCTTTTAACTTACCTTTGGACATTTAGTCATGTTTATTTTGTGCCGAAGCTGGTATTAATGTGGAGGAGATGATCAGTTCACGTGCGCCTCGTGCTACCACGTCTGTTGAACTGAGGCACTACAGCGATCTGTCACTCCACATTAAACAGTGCCAAAACGGCATTAATTGTTTGAATTCTGCAATACAACGGACAGAATTTGAAATCTGAGACTTTGTTTCATATTAAAAGCACCAACGTACAATGCTTATTGCGATATATTGTATGGGAAGTGCCCTTCAATGTTCCATCCATTAACTGACGTAAAAATGCGAATCGATTAATATCGAGATATCGATATTTTTTACTCAGCCCTACTTTCCGAAGCCCTGTACCTCCAGAGACGGGATGCCCTCACAGGCCAGCTGTGGATATTCTGCGACGAGTTGCTCTTCATCCAAGAATTGGCCGTTTCTGTCGTCGCTGGCCGGCTGGAAGAGACCGTAGTTTAGCACATCCTTCAGATTTTGACTCAGAGTACACAGCAGACGCTGTCTGGCGGCCCACACCGAGGCACTGGGGTCAAACCTCACGACCTTCTGTGGAAGAGACGTCAGTAAAGAGTCATGTGATGCTTCGGTTCAGTACAACACTGCTTCACACATCAAGCATAAACTATTGTATGTCAATCATAAACATAATCACATTACATCTGATAATTTCTCAGCAGCTGCTTCCGTTTTTTTTCAACCGCTTACACACAGAATCTTTACTTGTCACACTGGGCTCGCACAGCTTCAGTTGAAAACACTGACATGTCAAAATATTAATGGAAATTTGATTACTTATGGAATATTTGATCAATCGAGCCTCACATGTGACTCGTGGAGTCGAAGAGGCTTCAGTCATGAATCAAGCACACAGTAAACACACTCACACACACACACACACACACACACACACACACACACATGCTGTGTTTCCATGTTTTATGGGGACATTCCATAGGCGTAATGGTTTTTATACTGTACAAACTGTATGTGCTATTGCCCTACACCAACCCTACCCCTAAACCTACCCCTTACAGGAA